TTGATATTCTCCAGGTACCCCGTGTGGGTCTGTAACAATGAATTCCAGAACAATTGATATCATGGGGTGCAGTGGTGTCAGCAGATAATTCGGTAGTCCTGCATGGCTGCCAATACTGTAGATCCTGCATTCCAACAATGTAGGAACTAGCATCTCATTTAGACCCCTTTGAAGGAAAGTTACCAACGGCTCGGCTAAACCCATGGGGGCTCGCTGGCAAAGTCTTTGTGCAGCTGCCGTTTGCACCAGGCGAGTTGTACTCGCACAAGGACATCAATCGATCCAGCACGTCCTTGGAGGGAAAATATTTGTGGCCAATTCCTGATGGTTGTATGATATGCGTAGGAAGGAAGTTAGATGATATATACTTTTTGGAAGGCAAGGCTTATTCTCTGTCTAAGAAAGTTGACCGGCTCTTGTGCAGTTTGTGCTAGATCGCATGCTGCGTGCTGAGCAGGAATTCCGCGTCTGACTCAGAGAAGTTTATTAACGTGTCTGTTAGGTAACTTGAGCTTTGTGCCACATCACAAGGTCCTTTAGGTGCTCTACTCCATCCCCACTGAACAGTTTGGCACAGTGGTTCCTCTGCGTTGCACAGACATCCCTCGCTCGAAGGGGCTTGCCATACTAATTTCCTCAAGCACATGCGTCTCCGAGTCCTGTTACTTAAAAAACGTTTTGCGCTTTTTGAGTGGCCAGTCGGTTTCCGCTGCGCTTGCCACTAGCCTGTTGACTAAGTCAACAAACGCTCTTAGGTTGCTGCAAGTAACTATTCGTTTAAGAAGGACCAACGCCACTATGGCGAGACAACTCACCATAATTGGTCGCGAACTTGGATTATTCTTTAGTTTCTACGATATTTCCCACGCAGCACATGCAGCGAAACGGTAGTGTGGCAAGATCGCTTTTGCCCAATGGAGTCCTCGGCGTTGCTGCATCAACCGATGCGCTTCTAGTTGGTGAACACTAGGTTCATGATGGCCGGGTTGTTTCCTATTCTGAATGGCGTTGGAAAAGTGATATAAATAAATAAATAAATTGTATATGGCTCGACGATGCGAGAAGCCGTTCCCAGGAGGGACGGATCAAATAATGGTACAGCAGTTTCATATCATGGTATAAAAAATTTTTAAAAAAATGTTAGCACAAAATGAAAATTTGTGTAGCGCGAAGCGGTTCAAAATATTTACATTCCTCTTGTTCTATCGTCTGACAAGTTTTTAGCAGTCACATGAGAGTTGATCGCACACGAAGAAAAGAGAGAATAAAGTGCTGCGGGCCAACAAAATATAACCACTTGTGCACTTGACCACATGCATTTTCAGGCACCATTAACTCCGTTCTCAAAAGCGTTATCTAAGGACTGTGCTGTTCGAAACATTATTACCACATTTTGAACGGTTAAGTGATCTTTTATCGAAAGCTTAAACAAACGCAATGTGCAACAAGTTCTGACAGCTCTTGGAAGTTTGTTCCAAAGCTTTGAGCAGTGTACTAAAAAGAAACGCTCCCTAATTCGCGTATTGAATTTTGGAATCATGACCGTTGTCTCTTTATTTCGTAGCTCGTATCTAGTGTTAACGGACATATGGACACAGTTAGCATAATTGTGTATGTGATGGTGAATTATTCTGTACAGGAAACACAAGTTCATCTTCATTATCCGTAGCCAAACGTGGGTCAAGTCCAAGTTTTTCACTGCGCTCTCTGTAGGTCATCTTGGAGGAATATCCACACTGCTTCTTTGTAAAGCGTCGCTGTACCCTCTCAAGAGCATGCTGCTCAGATTTCCGCAGATTCGACTGTAGTAGTGAGCAGTATTCCATGCCAGGTAACACATATGTTTTGTAAAGCCAGATACGAGATTCTGTGAGTTGAAATTTATGACAGATATAGCCAATAGTCTTCATGGCTTTCGAAACTTGGAAGTCACAATGTTCCGAAAAGTTGAAGGTAGTGGAATACCGCACACCCAAGTCGCGAATCACTTTGCACTGTGATATAAACGTGCCTTGTAATAATAGACTGCTTGGTGGAACTTCGCATTTGTACGACAGAATATTACACTTGTCCACGGAAAAGGACATCTGTCATAGTTTGCACCAGGATTCAAGTGCCGATAGGTCTTCCTGAATGTGGCGCAAGGCTGCGCGGGTATCTGTACATTCTTGTGAGTAGACGATTTTAACGTCTTCAGCAAACAGAAAAGTAGCACCATGCCTTATTCTATGAAATACATCGTTGACGTAGAGGAGAAAAAGAAGTGGACCAAGTACACTTCACTGAATTACTCCACTGGTGACTGCTTTCGGTTTAGAGACACAGTCCCCAATACGCACCACCTGATGTCTGTCAGCTAGGTATGACGACAACCAAGAAAACATTGGTTCTCCAATACCTCTTTCCTTCAGCTTGAGGAGTAATCTTCGATGCGGCACTCTGTCGAATGCTTTTTGCATGTCTAAGAAAAGGACAATAACACTGTTGCCTTTGTCTATGGCAGCCGTTGTGTGGTTTAAGAAGTCTGTCTGGCATGTCGCACAAGATCTACCCTGCAAAAACTAGCGGCGAACTAGCGATTATCCCATGCACTTCCAACTTGGATCATCCATTAACTGTGTCCGTAGACTCTAGAACAAGTGGGTTTAAGTCCTCTGCTAGAAGAAAGTAGCTGTAAGACAAAACCAGTGGGTTATGCAAAGCTGATGATATCACCTTGTCAATTTTTAAAACGGATAATGGAAAGGGGTATACAGCGGCCACCGAACACCTATCGCGCTGCAGTATGTGTAGGTGGCATCGTAACAATTCGATAGTTTGAACCCTTGGGTCGTTAGCGTGAAGGACTTGTAAGTTCGAGTTGTATTGAAGAGTAACATCGCTTCCCTTTGTGGGTCGGTCGTTGGCAATGGTGAAATGCCAGGTGGTGAGATTTCAACACAGATGATCGCGTCATTTAGCCATGTCTCGGTGCCAAGACGATCACGCAGAAGCCTGAAAGGATGGCCCAATAAAACAACTAACGCATACTAAGGTCTCGCTTGTCAGTTATTGGAGCAACAGCTGACAGTGCTCCTAAACTGACCAATGTGTTCATTGCAAAGAAATGGTGGTCAACCTTTGAGACAAGCTCATTAATGACAGAACAAATGGAACTTTAGAACTAGTTACTTTTATCTGTCGTCAACTTAAGCAAATGATGAAGACTTGGCTTTGCCATTTACTGTAATACTTCTGTGTTCAAGAAAATGAGGTAAACCAAGTAGGCAACAGTCCGCAGAGTACGCTAATTTGCTAAGATTGCTTAAACTATGATCGTGTTTCATACAAAAGGAAATATCGGAACATTATTCCAATCAAAGTGGAACTTGAATTCTGTCGGCTAATTAATTCCGAATGTTTACCCATCACATGGGTTCAACGAGGTAAACAACCTCATATTCTTCGCTCCAAACGCCGTTCTTAAATAGCCTCAAATGAAGTGTCATCATCAACATCATTATCAATACAGGCTAGCTGAGGATGGGAAACACCTCTCAGTTATTGTGCCGTAAGTAGTGTAAATCTGCTTGAATAGTTTCTTCTCCTATTTGCCGTTTCCTCAGATTACCTTAGATCTGTCTCCTGGTGAGCTTATAGTGTGCGCACAATGTTTACGGAATGATTAGCGGCGCATTTTCAGATTAGACCGTGTGGTGAGAGCTGAGCCACATAGTTTTAGTGTATACAATCGTGACAACTTTGGCACGTGTCCCATCTACCTGCATAGCGGCTTCTTTGAGCACGATGACGTTAGCAACAGCAAAGTGATCCACGTACTACAGGACTCAAAGTGGCCAAACGTTTATGTCACTGTTGTTCGTGGTGGGTGCTCTGTGCTTCAGGACCGAGCACCCAAGGACCAGGTTCACGATAAAAAATCACACTGGATAGCAAATGTACGTAGCTGTACTTCATGACAATAATCTACCTCCACTTACTGTCTCCACAAGTCTGATGTGACCCTCGATTAACTGCGTCCTTAGTATAAAATCGATACGTGGATATTTTGTATTTTGCACAACGCTTTATTAACAAGAGTCGGCAGTCTTCCACCTTGCTGGGAACATGGTGCAGTTGTACCCAGACATAAGTGTTTGAAACTCAAAGGAGCAAACTCCTGCACGATCAGGCGCGCCTCAGTACTTCTTAAAGTTATGGAGCAAATTAGGAAAGTTTCCGGTTCTCACTAGCAGACAGCTTGATCATCCAGTCGCAACAAGCTTTTATTAAAAAGCATCTGGGTCACTGATAATAAGTACATGCACCGAATTCTATATCGAGCAAAACAATCACTGAGTTGGTAGAGGATAATGTTTGTAAACGGGCAGGTGGAATACAGATAAAGCAGAGAGCGCACAATTACCAGTGAACTCAACAGAAGTGGTGTAGTGAAATTCAACCAAGGTTCATGAGACAAAACCTGTGTGATGCATTGTGAGTACACTCCAACGATGTGTCAGTTCAACACATTATAGGTTTTTCTTCATGTGCAGACCAGACACGTCAGATTGCCTCCTGTGTAAACGTCGCAACTGTATGCACATTGGTTGACACAGTCAACACATTTAAGGCCGTTCCAACGATCACAAGTTGTGAGAGAAAGTTGAGAACAAGGTTCACCTCTGGGTGCACCTAAGGGCTAGATGCTATATCTGTCGAGTGTACAATCCAGTTGCCGTCATGGGATTCACTGCTGACCTTGTGTTGCAGCTCTCTTAGCCCATTCGGCTAAGTAATTACGGAAGCATGTTCATTGTGCGACTTAAATGAGTCTATCACTAGTTCGAAACAGCCGTGAAAAGAGTGGTGTTTACCTGAAACTTTGAAAAAAATACCAATAAATATTTAGAAAAATGCGCATATTATGTTTTGACAATCTTCCCAAATCAATTACCGACATGATGTATTGATAGCTACCATAGGGTGAAGAGGATCAGTGGTCACCGATTGACCCTTACTTTGCATACGCTTTTTCAAGCAGCGCAGACCAATACTCGTTGCGATTTGATGAGTGCATGAATACTAGGTGGCCATTTCTCGTGGGTAGTCGGTCATCTATCACCACGTCGACCCAGTCACCAAACTGCCAGAACCGGAACCAGAACATACCGCAGTAGGGAAAGAACTTTTCCGTGGCAGCGCCATGCGTTTCGAAGGACTGTCCAACAGGGACGACCTGAAACAAGGATTTCAGTATGTCATTGTATACCGTGGGCATAATTCTTTGTGGGGATATCAAATCCACATAAAGGCTATGAATATATATAGGTGAGACATGAATTTGATTAAGCTGATCAGCCAACAAGTGTCCCAACGCCCACTGACATCCATTTACTCGTAGTAACCGCGACATTGAACCTGATATATTTACTCTTGCAGTAGTATGCAATACTGAATTTTTGTTCGTCGCAATCAGCCGACAATCCAGATATGTCGACCAGCTATCCGGAAAAGCGCCAGACGGCCGTTTCGCCCTATTGGGGATTATCAGTGGTGCGCATCCTTCGGTCCTCTGCGGAGGATCGAACCCATGACTGCTAGTGGCTCTTGCCAACTAGCCCGCAGCTTATGCAAAAGCCACTAGCAGTCATGGGTTCGATCCTCCGCAGAGGACCGAAGGATGCGCACCACTGATGAGCCCCAATAGGGCGAAACGTCCGTCTGGTGCTTTTTCGGATAGCTGGTAGACATATCTGGATTGTCGGCTGATTGCGACGCACAAAAATACTCACCAAAATCCTTCCATTCATAAGTAATACCAATTCGCTCTTACGGATTCCACAAATGCTATATCGATTCATAGCTGCCGTAACCGGGAAGTCCTGACGCCGGAAGGCCGACCGCTGTCATCTGCATGGCAGGTGCCTGCATGGCAGTGGAGGATGGGTCAGGCTATATCGCATTTAGCTAACAATTCATGATAGTCGGATACCGTCCTCCATGGCGCAGTTGCATAAGCTGCGGGCTAGTTGGCAAGAGCCACTAACAGTCATGGGTTCGATCCTCCGCAGAGGACCGAAGGATGCGCACCACTGATGAGCCCCAATATGGCTAAACGGCCGTCTGGTGCTTTTCCGGATAGCTGGTCGACATATCTGAATTGTCGGCTGATTGCGACGCACAAAAATACTCATCAAAATCCTTCTATTCATAAGTAATACTGAATTTTACTGGACTTTATGCCTTCCAACCCTCCAGTATTGTTTGCTGAATATAATTCCCGATCACCTGTTTCCCTGGTGAGTCGTACGCCACGATATGCCTTGCCAAGGAGAGTAACATCTCCCAGAAAAATTCATTATCGCAACGGGAAAACGAGGTGAACGGATTGCGTGTAACAGAAATACCAAGACTTCTCAAGAATGTTTGCTTCAGGAACAATCACGTCTACACGACGCACACACCTCCGTCCCCATTGGCTGCCGGAACTGAATCATCCATCAGGGCAGCTGACCTAGCTGTTCCGAAACGTGAAGCCTCCTGGGTTAGCCAATAAATATACACTGATTTTAACACTACTTTTTTCCATTTCGGTAGCTGGTTCGTCAACACGCTTTTGCGTTCAAGCGTTGACTTCTGGCGTTGAATTCCGGCAGGGATCCGGAGCTAGCAGAGAATGAGTTCAGTTCAACCGGAGACGCATACCAAGAGGTAGAGGATAGCATTCATGGAAAGTAGTGAGAATACCCGCAGCTCGGTAAGTGGATGCGAATATTATCCTGTTTTCCGAGCCAGGTACTTCAGTTGCAGTCGTTTTGTTACCAAACTAGGCAACATCTTCAGTGCAGCTATTCAGTCCTGATTCGCGGAGTTTCACAAACCAGTGCTAGATCCGAATGACTATTGATTGTTACTTGCTTCGAATGGCAACCTTCGATTAGTTCACGTGAGTTTGCCGAGAGATCACGTCTTCTCCTTGTCAACCTGGTGTCTATTGCTGGCTTAACCTGCAGAGCTTCGTAGACACTCTCCAGCTCCAGGTGTTTGTTGATTGAGTTCCGGCCAGAATGCTGTGCCTCGAGGAACTCACTCGCTCTGATATTGCTTGCTCTTCCAAGTATTTCAACGTTCTCCTGATCGAACTGATGGTCCTCGGCATCCATGTGTACTGAAATTAAGGATTTCACATCGTGGCGGCCGATGGCCAGACTATGTTCGTGCAGTCTTGTGCCAAGTTGTTTTCCAGTCTGGCCTACATAGTACTTGCCGCAGTTCTGGCAGAAAAGTTTGTAAACTTCACCTGATGATTGTTCCTTACTCAATTTGTCCTCCACCTTAAATAGTTTACTTCGTATGGTTTCCGCTGTTTCCTGTACAACGTTTATCCCGTGAGGCATTAGAAGCCTCGCTGCCAGTTCAGAAATCCCATGGATGTAAAGTAAGATAATCGTTCTTTTTGTTGCACATGTGAACGCGGGTTGTGACTGACTCTTCGACATCAGGCAGCGTAGAATAAAGCTTCTGTGGTACGAATTTCGCAGAAATATGCTAATTAGGTGGTTCTCCCCCGCCTTCCTCAGTTGCGGCGTGCTACAGTGTGTATGGGCCCGTTTTAAAATCCTCCTCAGGCAACTTCGTTTGTATATGGTCGGATGGTTACTGCAATCATTTAAGATCTGATCGGTGTGCGCCGCTTTGCGATAAGCTGTTGTTTCCAGTGACCCAGAAGCATGTCTTCACATGAGCACATCCAAGAATGGCAACTGGTCATTGTTCTCTCGCTCTTTAATGAAATGGATACGGGAAAAAATAGTATTGATTAATTGCTATGTTTCTTGTAGTATGGAGCGTTTGAAGCTGACCAAAGTATCGTCTATGTAACGTATCCAACGTTTGGGCTCCACTATTGCCAATGCCTTCTGTCCCAAGGCTTGCATCAATGCCCCTGCTACCATTCCAGAGATTGGCGCTCCCATTGGCGTACTCGTTATCTGTTTGCACATTTGGCCATTAAAAGTGAAATATATGGTGAGACAGAAGTCAAGCAACTCCATCGTTTGCGTGGTTTCAGTTCTGTTGCTGGTATTTACCGCTCCGTGTTTTTCAAGCAGAGTCCTTGTTCGACTCGCCAGCGTCGTGTCAATTGATGTGAACAAAGCTTTAACGTCAAAGGAGACCATTATCTCGTCTATTACTATTGTTATTTCCTTAAGCTTTTTTTAGTAATTGTTCTGCTGACTGGATGGAGTACCCTGCCTTTGCTTATCAGCTAACCATTCCCTGTGGTACTCCAAAATACACATTGGGTCCGTCAGCGTTTACGCTCCTGAATATTGAGTCTTCGTGCAATTCATAATAATTATCGTCGCAGTTGGTATCGATTTTGCATTCTACACCATAGTCGCATAAAAACTGCGCCTGTGTTTCCACTGCAACGATGAGTATGATCATCTTATTGCCACACGATGTGGCAATAACCTGAAGTCAGCCGGATGCCTGTAGTCCAGACACAAGATGGATTCGTAAGCGCACACTGATACCGTGGACATTTAAAAAACCTGTCCTTGTAACTGTTAGTTGCTCACTCGGACAGAGGTAGATCTAACGTGAATACCGGCAGGATGCAATAAGGTACTTGAGTCTGTCTTTTAACCGAGTGAACCCTTCTGAAATGTTTCGCTCATCAACGGATAGTTACTTTTAGATGAGTTAAAGGTTTCAGACGGGAAAGCGAGCGGCCAATTTTTCCATTGGACAGTCGGAATAGACACATTACAAGAGGATAAACAAATACGAGGCAATTCGCACGTTATAGTCCAAATGCGTCGACGAGACCATTTTACCATAAAATGAGTGATCAAAAATAGGTTGGTCATAATCCATTCAGATAAACTCACGTTCTCCAGTAAATCGGTGTACATAGAGAGGGAGGATAGAGCTGCTAGGAACCAGCAATCACCTGCAAAGCAGCAGATAAGTGCGCTTGACGGAACGGGCGTTGAAATACTATAGTGCACTGAACAGCTTATCAAAAAATTGTTCAATTTCGTGACAGTGTCAATTTGTCAGCTATACACAGAGCTGCAAAATGCTTGATAGACCATAAAAGTTAAGGATAAGAGCAAAACCTCGGATGCTTAAAGCAGCAGATGTGTCTCTCTAGCCCAAGGACCACAAAACTCGTAACATGCTATGGGATTTGAAGAAGCTTCGAAGTATGTTTCCTGTGACAGTAACCTAAAGAAGGGCGTTAGATCAACTCGTGTTTATCACTGTATTAGTGTTTGCCTGTGTACTGTGTGGGAATGAAGCATTGTCCCAGACGTTAACCGAGAGGTATAACCCCCGACAATAGACAGTTAAATGCACTTAGACGCAGTAAGGTGACACCACTTCTGTAATGCAACTGTACCATGCGAATAATGAGGACCCATAGCCATGTTAAGTGTATATTCGCCGCCCAACTGATAACGTATAGAGTGCAGTTGACGCGAGGCTTTCAGCGCAACAATGCGAACCAGGACTATTAACAGGCTCTCCGTGCCGCACCTGAAACCAAAGTGGGTCCAATGTTGTCGCCCTAGGTGTGTCCAAACATTCAGCATGTGTGTGTGCATGCAACTACAAGAGCTGTGTGTCCTATATGTTATGATCTAGTTCAGAAAATATATAAAGGCACTTCTTTCAACATAATCATAATCGTATCCTGTTGTATGAGAAAATACATGTGGTCGCATGTTATGTTTTGATAGTGCCATGCGTGCGTGATAAATGAGGTCATAACGATGCGGCACATGTAGGCCAGTGACTTGTTGTGGTCTCGTCATGTGTGAATGACAGCGAGAAAAGTCTCGGGACCAAACTGGGACAACTGAAATTTGCAAGTTCACAAAGGCGTTGGCTTGACACCTGAATGAGAAAACAAAATAATCTGTAGTAAAATATTTGGGTCACACAAACTAAATCCATAAGTCTCCGTGCCACAGTTTTCTAGTCATGTGCGATAAATGGGGTGAATCCCCTCTAGAGATTTTCGTCTTTCTATCAATCAAGCGAGTAACGCAGAGAGAAATCTGAACATATACAGAACAGAGTAACTACTCAATCCTCGTCTCATTTCCTTGCTCCTCAACACAATGTACTATCACTCATTTCGTCATTTACATCGTATATGGATGGCGGCATCCGGTACCAGATTTTTCTGTCAGTGCGGCCACCATAGGGTAGCCACAGGATGTCTGTGCCTACAGAGGGATCATGGGTTACTTGTACTGTATCACCCACAGCTCCACACACAACCACATCCCACGTCCAGTGTAAACCTGAAGGAATAAGACCGGGAGGCATGGGGATTGGAGCCAGTTCTCATAAACGGAGCCGATTCACGCTCTAACATACACAACAGCAGCATTCCTGTCTATTTAAATTGGGAATCATGCGTACCAGACGTACACAAGGCGGTGGCTGGGCCGTAGGTCGCTCCACTCTAGATGGCACCACCCTTCGAACCTAACATGGCCACGCGGACCGTGCATCCCGTCGCCCCAACAACGATACGCCGTCTCCAGGAGCCAGTAAAGATGAGGTGGGGTGTAGGCACCTTGTCAACCTTTACATCAAGCGCAGCCCCGCAGGGGATATTAAAAAATAAATACGGGTTTTGATGGAAGATTGTTGCGGATCCGTCAAATATCCCAGCAAAAACGCTCCACAAACTACGGCGTAAATGCTGTACAAAGCGGGGTCCAATTCCTTCTCAAAACGTAGCAGTTTTCAGTCACTCCGAGACGCGGCACAACGGCGCACATGTTGACAATGTTCTTTTACAAACTACCACCCCGTCGTAGTAGCTATTTTCCCTAACTTAATGACCCTTGGTTGTGATTTGCCATTTGGTGGTCGTAACAGAGCCTTTAGAGGACCACTTGCCTTCCTTCCTCTTCGCCGTAGTGGGGAGTCGGTCGGGTCACGTGATTTTATGTGCGTCGATAGCCGGGCAGCGTTCGTGTCCAAGCCACTAGCGCGCGTCTACCGTAACCCTCTCTCGTGTGCGTCCGTTCCGAGGGCTTAGAGTCTACCTGAATACGTGCGGCTCGGAACATTCTCACGCTCGCTCAACTTCCGTGTCACCAGCGCGTACCCCGGGCTAAGCTAAGGCCATCAGGTCAGCGCAAATCCGTTCCATTGGCCAGTGTTCCGATCAGTTACCGTAGGCGTGCTCCAACCGTGCCAGTGACAGGCGTCATCGCAAAGATAAACACATAAAATTGACACCGAATATGAAGCTGAATAAAGGAATCGAGCAAATCGGAAACAGTGGAATACTATTGCGTAGGGTAAAAGGATCTAGCTTAATTGTAAGTCGGGGTAGGCCATTTACGGCAAAGAAAGGTGCTGTATGCAACCTAAACCTCAGCACGGGGAATACGTGGTTGGAATAAGAATAGAAAAAACCAAGCAAATGTTTTTTTCCGTTTTCTGCTGTCAGTTTTCGTGATTTGTTGACAGTTTTTTATTAGGAGTGGGAAATGAATTCACCGAAACCCGCCGAGTTACTCGTCTGCCGCTGGTCTCCGTCTTGAACCATGAATTTCAAGGTCTCTGACCAGTGACAATCGGTATCTCTGAGACTCTAACCAGGGAGTCGAGAACGACCTACTGGGGCCAACTGTTTCGTCAGATTTTCCATGCCGATTCTCTAAATTGTAGGCTATCGTAGGTTGGTTAATTGGTGTAGCCGCCACACACCGGCAATTGGTCGCAAGCAACGGTGCCCGAAGGCAGACAGCCGACGCTGGTCAACGGCACGAACAGGCCACTTCTCGTGACCGTACAACAGTAGAGTGGGGAGTTGTGTGTGTGTGTGTGTGTGTAGAGTGCACGAGAAATCAGCCCTTTGACGGAGGGACAGACGTCATGGCTGCACTACAAGTGCCCCGGCCTGGAGAAGACGAGACCAGCTTTTGAGATACGAATCGAAATCTATTCTCCAACAGCCTTATTAACAGTGCTGCAACTCCTCTGGTAGGTGAAACATTTACAAGCTCCAACATCTGACTACCAAATGTGTGGGCAGGTACAGGCATTTGCCATTCTTGAAAAAACTATTGGTACCTCGGTGGTGAGTTGCATGCCATACTACGATACTTCAATCGCTAGGCGGTTAAGTGCAAGTTGCGCCACCTGCGGACTGTCACCCAGCAAGAGAGGAAGAGCTCATCGTCATTGTTTAACGAGTCTACAAGAGCATTTTTAAGGACCTTTCCAATGGCAAAATTATATATATATATATATATATATGGGAGCTTTCACGTTTATGAGTACAGATAATGCGCTATGTGAAATATGTCAACAACGGAAGGCGGTGGTGGAACAAAAAGAAACTGTCTTTTTTGCCGCGTACATGCCGTTCTGAGTATTTCCATATCTTAAATGACTCTTAGATAGCAGCTTATATCCCAGAATAGCATCATCACCGCTACTTTCTGCTGGCTGTAAAAACATCGTCACATCTTCCGTTCTCACTCAGGCTGAAGATTTACCTAGGATTTATGGAAAACATAAGTACATACAATTTCTGCACCGCTAATCCTTACTCCGCTGCCACTGAAGTTGAAAACTTGGAGAGTCCATAGAGGTGGACAAATGACTTTTTGCTCCCAATTATTTTCTTCCCTAATGCCCTATCTTTCGGATGCTACTAGATGAGAACTCACCAAGTGCCCATGAAACATTAACACTGTGAGGTTTGAGAACGGATGCTCTCATCTAATCCAACTAACACATGCGACGTAGTCCTATTTACTGCATTTGTTGCATCTCTCCAACGGTTATGAAGCACGTCTTTCATTTCCAATTATTTTAATGGCGCTAATTATCCACATAGATTGAACGCATATGTCTAGGCAAAAGGAAACAAAATTCCAAGTCATTCTCACCAGTAATGTGCGATCGCTGCTTAGTGAAACTGCGACGAGACTGGACCTTAACTTGCTAGGATGGTCTACTTGCCTCAACTATCCACTGAACACCGTAAGAGCCACTTATGCCAGACTGGTCAATGGTTAGATTCGAGACATACTTGATTTCTGTTATAGCCGAAGTAAGAATACTTCACCGCTCCCTTTGGTTTTGTGTTTTATTCTACTCACCCCTATTCACCCCGTCCTCTTTTACGGTTCCCCACATACGTTTTCTGTTATCTCACCTTTGTGACTAGCTTGGGTTGATACTGAATCTTATGCTTAATGGCATTTCCGTTACTCTGTACATTTGGCTGGTTAGTGAGACGTCGTATCGATCCTTCGCCCCTGAAATGACTAGCTCTGATTGATCGATTGGCAGCCTTTCTGCATAGCCTGTGATATGCCCTAATTTGAATCATGTGATTGAGTTGCTCACACAAACACTTGGTGGCCAGTTTGGCGTACAGCGTGGACATTGTTGCCCGATCGTTGGTGTTCTCACTACCGTTAGTGGATGGAAGCAGTCGTGTGGCTCTGACACGGCAGTTTCCTGGACCTCCACATTGGGATTGGAATGATGGTGGCTCCTTACTCCGTAAAACGAAAACAATGTAGCCCGGTTCCAAAACCTCGCCATCTTGCGATCAGGTTTTCGGACCAACGGTTTTGGTCGAGAACCCTAATCGTTCTTCTGTCTAGGCCAGAGTAACCGGAAAGTATCCTGCCCACGCAATACGACTTTCCCTTCAAACAATTTCTTGATGCTGTTGCTTAGGTTTTCTCGTCGTCTTGTTCCTCCTCTCGCTCATGTTCATCCTTAACGTCCTGTGTCAGATTTACTTTTATCACCACCTGTTTTCTTGGCCCTCCCCATCTTAATTCGGCAGGTGTTTATCTTCCAGTTTCGACTCACACTCAATCGCAGTGCGTCGCCCCGGTTCAGTCAAGAGGTTCTTGTTCGACCAACCAGATAATATCAGTTCATCCGTTTCTA